AGCACCACCCACCAGCACTGCCCTTTGGGGTCCCCAGCACCCCAATAAGATGGTGGTCTTTGGTGCACTGCCCCCAAGTTTCTGGTCCTACTCATTGTACTGACAGTGAAGGAAAGGGAAGGGGGAGAAAAATAAATGAGCAGTTAATTTCCCTTTTCATTTTCTGGAGTGCAATAAAGCTCAAATTTTCTTTTATCTACTACTTTGGCCTCAAACCAGAGGTTTTTATCACTGTTCCTGATCAGTGAGCTCTAGATGGTTTTTAATTCCTGTTTGCTTTTCTCTTTAAGCAGAGAGAAATATGATTCTTACCTTTTATTTTTTAAAAATTAGTTTGTTGGGGGGAGCGATAGCACAGCGGTAAGGCGTTTGCCTTGCACACAGCCAACATGGCCAACCCGAGTTCGAGTCCTCCACCCCTCTCGGAGAGCCCGGCAAGCTACCGAGAATATCTTGCCCTCACAGCAGAGCCTGGCAAGCTCCCCATGACGTATTGGATATGCCAAACACAGTAACAACAAAGTCTCCAATGGAGACGTTACTGGGCCCGCTCGAGCAAATCGATGAACAATGGGAGGACCTTTACCTTTTTACCTTTAGTTTGTTGGGGCTGGAGTGATAGCACAGTGGGTAGGGCATTTGCCTTGCACACGGACAACCCAGGTTCGATTCCCAGCATCCCATATGGTCCCCGAGCACTGCCAGGAGTAATTCCTGAGTGCAGAGGCAGGAGTATCCCTGTGCATCACCAGGTGTGACCCAAAAAGCCAAAAAAAAAAAAAATTAGTTTCTTTTAGACTCACGTTTCTGCCCATTCCTATTATTGCATGACAGGCAAGCGTTCTGCTTTCCGCAGCAGGTTGAAATCTCAGGGGCAGGGAGAGAGCTTAAGAGACAGGAGACCTATGTTCATGCCTCAAGCCCCTGAACACGCCACGTGTGGGCCCAAAACCAAAAAGCAAACAATGTCCAAATAAACTTGTGCGTGTCCCTCGCCTGCCAGCTCTTGTGTCTTGGAAAACGTGGGCTCACCGGTGCAGAGCAAATCTATTCTCTGTCTCTTAGATTTGCTGCTTAATTTAATGATATTTGCAATTTAATTTTCATGACTTAGTAACACATGCTTGCCACTTGTCCTGTCACCGAGACCAAGTCTTCCACAAAGAGGGTGGGATTTGTCAAGTCCTATAATCCAAAATAATTTTTTTTTTGCTTGTTCTGGGTCACAGCCGGCGGTGCCCTCTGCACTCAGGGATCACTCCTGGTGGTGCTTTCGGGGCAATATGGGGTTCTGGGGATGGAACCCGCAAGGCAGATGCCCTCTCTGATGTGGTATCGCTCTGACCCCACCATCTGCATTTTCAGGCCACATTCTTGGATGTTTCTGCTGCCTGACTTTGGCCAGCCCTGACACCAGCCAGCACAGAGTGCCTGGTTTCTCCCGTTTCACACTTTCACTTTATTTCTGTCCTGCGGCGCCAATCTTTGTTCTCCCTCCGTGTTGCATCTCCCCGTCTGCCCGTGTCTGCTGTCCTGCCCCCAGCTTCCGTGGTACGTGTCTCTGCTCACAGAAGTGCCACGCCGGCCCCTTGTGTTCCAGCCACGGCTTCTCGCCTCAGGTCTTCTTTAGAAACGTTCTTATTTTTGCCTCGTTTATTTTTGTCCTCCGTTGGATCACTCCCGCTTCCTCTGTTCTGTTTTCCTTTCCCTTCGGGGATTTTGCATCTGATTTTTATCCAGCGCCGGTGGCTGGCGCAGTGCGGCTTTGGCTGGCAGCGCTGGAGGGAGCCCGGAGCTGACGCAGCCCAGCCTCTGCCCCGGGTTCTGGCCCTCACCTATGGGGCACCAGAGAGCTTAGCCTTGAATTCTCCTTGGTGGGGCCTGGAAGATGGTTCTGTGGCTTCAAACACTTGCCTGGCACGCATGGCACTGAGAGTTCAGACCCTGGGAGCCCCAAGAGGAGCAACGAAGCTCTCCCCAGACCCGCCGGGTACCGCCCAGCTTCACTCTTTGCTTTCTGCTCTTTGCCTGCAATTCCCACTCGGCTCCCTCGGGTCGGGGGCCACGTCTCAACTAGGAGTGACCCTGGGCGAATCCTCTGAGAGTGCAGGGGATCCAATTCCTCAGACCTGGGGCTGGAGTGATAGCACAGCGGGTAGGGCGTTTGCCTTGTATGCAGCCAACCTGGGTTCGAGTCGCCCAGCATCCCATATGGTCTCCTGAGACCGCCAGGAGTGATTCCAGAGTGAAAAGCCAGGAGTAACCCCTGAGCATCACCGGGTGTGACCCAAAAAGCAATTCCTCGAACCTTCACTGTCTGAAATGCCAGTTTTTCCTTCTCAGAGGGGCCGTGTAGATGGTCAGCTCCCTGCCGAGGACGCCCCACCCATCTGCACCATCTCATTTCCAAGTGATGCTATTTGGAAGCATTTGGCTTTGCTTTCTCGTCTTTGTTCTGGACATGCTGGGCCCCCGGCACCCGCGAGACCTCTCACTACCCTATTCCCTTCCTGCCCTCACCCTCCAGGCCTCCCCATGCTGGCCTCTGCCAGGTGGCGGCCGTTTTCACGGACAGCACTTTTTTTTCCATAGGATGCTTGTCTTTCTCCATCTAACTTTTGTCCCACTACACATATTCTATCTATCCACATTGATGCTAATGGCAGGATTTCTTCTTTTTTTTTTATAGCTGAGTAATATTCCATTGTGTGTGTCTATGCACACACATATCTTTTATTTTAAATTTTTTAATTTTTTAAATTTTTATTAGTGAAACACCATGAGGTACAGTTGTAGACTTACAAAGTTTTGTGCTTGGGTTTCGATTATACAATGATCAAATACCCATCCCTCCACCAGTGCCCATTTTCCACCACCATGGATCCCAGTATCCCTCCCACTCCCATCCCCCCCCCATCCCATGCTGCCTCTGTGTCAGGGCATTCCCTTTTGTTTTCTCTCTCCTTTTGGGTGTTGTGGTCTGCAAAAGAGGCATTGGGTGGCAAACATGTTCGGACGGACAGCACTTCTGATCTGTTCTGAAAACCCAGACGCTCCTCACTCTGAAATGGAGAGTTCCGTCTCACGCGGCCATAAGCCTCTTGTTGCATCCCGATGAAGTAATTCTGGAAGGTTCAACACATGAGGGAGGACACGGGGCCCTGCCACTCATGTCCTTGTGAGGAACTGAGGCCCGCAGGAGGGTCTGAGCTGCGCGGAGTCAGGGTTGCAGGGGCCTGCCCTAGGGGACACGGAATTGGGGTCCGGAAGTCCTCCCCGTGGTAGCTCCATCCTGCTGCTTGCTCCTGGTCCCCTTCTCTCCTGTTTCTGACCAACTTCTGCCAGCACCTCATCGATGTTCCAGCGGGGGTCAGGGGTTCCTCACCTCAGCCTGTGTCACCTCCACGAGTTGGGCCCTTGTCTTCAGGTTGTTCCTGTCATCCTCACGTCCCTCGTTTCCCTCCCAGAAGCCAGGCTCCTGTCTTAGAAAGTGGCCTCAGTGCGGCCACTGCTCACGCCCTCGGCCCAGCCCGCCTTGCTCGCCTGAATTCCTAACTCCTCCGCTGCGGTCTGGATTTCCCCCAGAAGCCAAGGCCAGCATTAGCTCTATGTCAGGAATTTGGTCCTTTGCTTCCCTGTTATTGTTGCGGTGTGTGTGGCGGGGGGTGGGGGGCGGGGGTGAGCCCACGGCCTGACATGTGTGCCCTGCCACTGAGCCATCCAGCCCCAGAGTCAATGACTTCAGGGGCCTCCGGGTCTTACTGCCTCTTGCTTAGATGAAGAGACCCCCCCCCCGCCCCACAGTGTGGCAGGGCCCAGAGCGACTTCTCGTCCCCAGCCTCAGTGCTGCCTGGTCACCCCGCTCAGGCTCTCATCTCTGCCCTCAGGCCCCTGGTCACTCCAGCCCAGACCCTCATCTCTGCCCTTAGCTCCCCATTCACCCCATTCCAGGCCTCTGGCTCTCTGCTCTCCGTCCATAAGGAGACCATGCTCACCACAGACCCTTCTAGAAGCTTCTCCACATCAGGCCTGAGTGGGGTCCTGCCAAGCCTCCCTGTGCACCCCCCTTTCTGGGAGACTGGCACCTGCTTTCAGGGAATGACTGAGTGGCCAGGGCCTCAGGCCTGCAGCCGCTCACTCCCAGGAGACCCCGCGTCTGCAGATGCCTCGCACAGATGGGAGCTGACGGTCCAGCTAGGGTCCCACAGAAGGGACAGCAAGGGGAGTAGCTGAGAAGGGTGGGGTGGGCCATGGGGCTCGACCAACAGAGTGCTGAGTCAGCTCACCGAAGTGGGGGACGGAGTGGGGGGAGGGGGAGGGATCTCCAGGAGGAGGGGGAGGAAGAGAGGCTCCTGGGGAGGAGTCTGGGGGGCGTCTGTGCCTGCCCTGTGCACCCCTTCTTCGGAGACTTGCATAGAGTGGTGAGCTTGTTGGGGCCACTCTCAGCAGTGAAGGGCCGGCTCAGCCTTGGGGCCCTGACCTGTACCCCTGACCCCTCCCCACGTGACCTGATGACTTGACCGTGTGGGCTGGAGAATGGGCAGGGGCACTTGTGGGACACTGAGGGGTCAGGCTGTGCCCGGTTGGGCTCATGCACCCGAGGGGGTCAGGCAGTGCTTCAGATGGGAGATCCCTGCTGGGGGAGGGGTCATGGTTCAGGTGGGCTGGGGGCAGTGAGGGTGGGTGGATGGCGAAGGCCCTGAGCCTGCCCTCCCAGCACCCTGAAACCAGCCCGGCTCTCCGGGAGTCCTCCTCCTGCCAGTCCCCCCAGTCTGTGCTCAGACACTGTGAACCCTCCTTCCTGGAAGTGCGGGGGCTGGGCACAAGGGTCCCCGGGACCCCGGCCTGGCACTGGGGAGCCGTCTCAGGGCTGCTAACCGATGTCACAGCCGGGGGACCCCAGATGAGTCAGCCTCTGATGACCCTTCAGGGGTCCCTAAAGGCACAGCCAGGGGGCTAGGGTGCCTGGCCCCGGGTGACGGCTGCGTGGCTCCCCACAGTGCTGGACACAGCGGGCCAGGAAGAGTTCAGCGCCATGCGGGAGCAGTACATGCGCACGGGTGATGGCTTCCTCATCGTCTTCTCCGTCACTGACAAGGCCAGCTTCGAGCACGTGGACCGCTTCCATCAGCTCATCCTGCGTGTCAAGGACAGGTGAGGCGGCACCCGCAGTCTGTCTGGGTAGCTGTCTTTCCTCTCCCGGGCTCCCTGTCCCTGGGTGCCCACCCCCAACCCGCGGTGGCCAGGCCAACACAGTGACCTCCCAGCCCCTCAGCACCATCGTCCCCCAAGGTGCCATTCTGGACCCCTGCTCTGGAACTCGCTGTCACCTCAGGCCCCTGAGGAAAAGCCGCCTTTGTGCTGTCTTTACTCAGAGCAGTAAATAACCCAGAGACCGGGAAGCTTAAGGGGTCTTTCAGCCAGGAGGGGCTCGAAGAAGCGCGTGCACATAAAAGGGACTTTACAGGAAAGCAGCAACTGCCCAGCTGCTCTTGGGGTGGCTCCCGTCAGGAAAGGCCCACACTTATGCACACATACTTACACACTTACACACTCATGCACACTCACACACTCACATACTTACACACTCACGCACACTCACTCACACACTCACATACTTACACACGCACACACGTTCACACACACCCACGTACATACTCATACACTCACACACTCACACACTCACGGACACTCACGCACTCTCTCACACACGCTCACACAACCGCACATACTCATACACTCACACAATCACACACAACCACACTCATAATTACACTCACACTCGCGCACACTCACACACACAACCACACACAGGCACACACACACATAACCACCACACGATCACACACAATCACACTCACACACATACACTCACACAGAACCACCACACAGTCACAAACAACCACACTCACACAATCATACTAATACACACACTCACAGTCACTCACACACACACATACACTTACACTCACACATTCACACACACACACACACACACTCATGTTCATGTCTGTGCCCCTGCCAGAGCTCAGGAGACTCGTGTGGGCCGTGCCCTGCCTCCAAGGCCCTCAAAGGAGAAAATATAAACAATGTTGAGGGGAGAAACATCGGACTTTCTTGCAGAGCCCAGAGGGAAAAGGGGACAGGCTGACTGCCGCCCATCTGCAGGGTGTTCCTGCACAATCCCGTCTGCCACGCCTACTGGGAGGCTGCCCGTCCTCCTGTGCCCACCCAGGGGGGCGTCTGGCTCGAGGCCCCTCCTGGAGGTCAGCCTAGGGCTCTGCGAGGGGAGGGGAGATGGGAGGAAGCAGGCCTGGGGTGCCAGTGTCCAGCCCTGGACCCTCACCCACCTCGCCGCCCCGCCCAGGCTGGCTCGGCTCGTTCCCTCCCAACTATTTTTTTAGTTTTGGAAGGGGCCATCCCCAGCAGAGCTCAGCTTCCTCCTCCCCCGGTGCTCAGGGGTCATTCCTGGTGGGGCTCAGGCGACCCTGTGGGGTGCTGGGGATGGAAGCCGGGTGGGCACGGGCAAGGCCAGCCCCCTCGACCTGCCCTACTGTGGCCCAGCCCCTCTCCCCCTCCCAGACAGGAGGGTCTCAGGCGGTCTCAGCCAGTGAGGGGGGCCGGGCAGGGGGCTGCGAGTGCAGGAGTCGCTCCCCTCTCCCCCCAGGGAGTCCTTCCCCATGATCCTCGTGGCCAACAAGGTGGATCTGATGCACCTGAGGAAGATCACGAGGGAGCAAGGGAAGGAGATGGCGACCAAACACAGCGTAGGTTCTTTGTGTCTGCGTGTGTGCACGTGCCTTGTGCATCCGTGTCCACGCATTCATGCGTGCACATGTGTGTGTGTGTGTGCATGTGTTTGTGGGGTGGGGTGCTACTGAGAGGGGCAGCAAATAGCCCCCATCTGCAAATGAAGGAGCTGGGATGGGGCAGAAGTGGCCTCCCCTCTAGCGATGGTGCTCCCACCCCCAGGCAGTGCTCCCACACCCAAGGGGGAGGGGGCTGGTCTCTGTCTCTGTCTCTCCAGGGGGCTCTGTGCCTCCCAGCCCAAGCAGCCACTGTCTCTCTCCATAGCGTCCTAATGGTTTTGTTATTTTTTGTTTCTGGTTTGGGGGCCATGGCAGTGCCGGGGGACCACGTGATGATGGGGAGGGGGCCCAGGGCTTCCACATGCCCCCTTCGAGTCACCTCCCCTGGGCCCCCCATCCTCATGTGGGAGCCCCTCCACCCCGTGGGATGAGGTTGGCAGACCCCAGCATTTAGGGCAGGGACCCCCCACACCCCCCTGCCCAGGCCATCTGCATCTTGTTGCTGCTAAAATCCTGGCCACCCAGGTCACAGGTAACCAGGTATGTTTCTGCAGCAGAGACAGGGCGGACCCAGGAAGACAGGAGGGTCCCTGTGCTTGGGCGGAACCTGGGGACTCACTCTCCCTCCGGGTGTCGCAAGACATGCCCGGCGCCATAGGGTCCCCTTGCTGCTATGGTCTTCCAGCATATAAAAAGACCATTTTTCATCTATAAAAAGTCCTCTTTGTAGTGTCTAGTAAGTGTCTCCGTGAGCACTGAACAAGGAGAAACTGGAAAGGGGTGAGCAGAACCTCCCAGCTGAAGGAGCAGGAAGACACACAGGGGCCTGGTTCTGAGGGGCTGGCAAGTACAGGCTTCCTCAGCACCCCTGGGGGTCCTCACGCCCCCCACCCGGCCTTGCAGATTCCCTACATCGAGACCAGCGCCAAGGACCCACCTCTGAATGTGGACAAAGCCTTCCATGACCTGGTCCGGGTCATCAGGTGAGCGCCTCCACCTCCCGGAATCAGGTCTGTCGCCCCCAGGAACCCGCTCCCCCTCCAAGGCCCGTTCCCTGGCTTCTCCATCCATCCATGTCCCCCCACCCCCCACTGTTCTGGCTTGTGGCTCCTGTGAGGGTGGGATTCAGACACAGGACATGCCGCGAGGCCGCGTGAGAATCTCTGGGCCTAGGCGGTCAGTCACCTACAGGGCAGCCTGGGGGTCGGGACTGGTGCAGTCGCCCCCAGGCTCACCAGACCGTATCTGTCTCCAAAGGCAACAGATTCCGGAAAAGAGCCAGAAGAAGAAGAAGAAAACCAAGTGGCGGGGGGACCGAGCCACCGGCACCCACAAACTACAGTGTGTGATTTTGTGACAGGCCCGAGGCCCCGGGCACAGGGACCAGGAACTGGCCAGGCCTCAGGAGCCCGCGGCGGCTGGACCGCGCCGAGAACCTGGGGCTGGAAGGGGGAACAGGGGTGCGCGTGGCCTGGCGTGGCGCTTGGGTCCTCCCCACCTCTCACGAGACACGAGGAGGTGGGGGGTAAGTTGAGGCGGCACCCAGGCCCTCCTGTCTCTGGGGGCTGCCACCTTTCTGAACCGCCGGGCCCTGTGCGGGTCGTATTCACCCTCACACCAACAAGCCATGAACCACCCCCTCCCCACAGCCCTCCCCCCGCCCCGTCTAAGCTTGGGTGTCTTTTGTAGATTTTTAAATTATTTTAGTGATTATTATTTTATTAAAGGGACCTAGGCCCACTGCCTGGTGAGATTCTGAGTCTCCGGCAAGTCCACTACGATGGCTTGTCCGAAGTGCTGTGGCTTCTTCTGACTCAGTTTCCCCAGCCGTGCCCAGGGCCAGCTCAATGAGAAAAGTGGGGTGACCGAGAGCCCGGAAGTGAGTGGGACCTGTGTGTGGCAGGACGGGGTGGGGGAGGGGTGCACCCCACTCCCCTGTGAGTCAGGAAGGAGAGGCGCTGCTCAGTGAACGTGCTCCAGGGGCAAATGCCGCCTTCAAGACCCAGGATTGTATTTCGTTGGGAGGAAATACAACAAAATGGGAGGGTGGGCTTCCCAGTGGGTCACGCTGACTTCCTGGCCAGGCGGGGGGCTGTGAGGTGTGCCCGTCTCTCCCTGTCCCGCCCCCACAGCCCAGGTCAGGGGTCGGCAATGTCTTCATCAGCGGGACCCGGTCCCCTCTGCCCCTTCCAGCTCTGGCCCCTGGGCTCAGAGAGGTGACCGCTCGGGCACGGGCCTCGTGGACCTCAGCTGGGCCCCACGCCATGGAGGATGGGGACAGGGGCTTGCCGTGTGGCCCCCAGGCCTGTTCCTCACGGCCCCTCCTCACCAAGCGGTGCTCATGTGGGCTGGGAGCTTCCCTTCAGGGTTGGGGTCGGGGTTGGGGGCCGCAGTGCGCCTCAGAGTGGAGGCATCGCAGCTAAGGACCTGACTTCCCACTGGCTACCAGGCTAGGACATGCCTTGCAGCGGCCCTGGGCATTGTTTGGAGAAAGAACCCTGGGGATGGGAGAGTCCAGCTGGCCTGGCAGGTGGTCAGAGCTTGGGTGCTGGGGGGGGGGTGGTGGTCCCCAGCCCATTGTGGGAGGTCTGCTGCCGATTCGACAGCCAAATCCAATAGCCACGGGAACTCGAATGGCTGGTTTGGGGGGGGTGTGTATGTGTCCCTGAGAGCTAAGAACATTCCAGATCAGGTCCTTGAGAGCTGCCTGCGAGCTCCTCCTGTTAATGAGCATTTTAAGCACCATCAAGATCAGGCTCATTTCTGCCCTTAGGCACCCCTGAGGCGCCTGGAGCACAGCAGCACTCACTGGGAGCAAAGGAGAGGAGGAGGGAAACGGAACAGGGAGAACAGGGAGGACGGAGCAGGGAAAGGAGAAGAGGAGGGGAGAGAAACAGAGAGGATGGAGCAGGGAAAGGAGAGGAGGAGCGGAGAGGAACAGGGAGGATGGAGCAGGGAAAGGAGAGGAGGGGAGAGGAATGCAGAGGACAGAAAAGGGAAGGAGAGGAGGGAGTAGGCAGGTGGGAGGAGGGAGACTGGTGGGTGTTGCAGGGAGGAGTGATGGGGAGGACGAGGAATTGCAGTCAGGCCAATAGCCTCTGCCGAAGCATGCAGCGCCGGCCCGCCCAGCAGCACAGCCCTGGCAGGGAGCAGGAAGGTGCTGGCAGCTGACCTCAGGGCCCAGGGGCAGCGTCCACTCTGCACCCCGCAGAACAGCGCCTCGGACCACCCAGCCCCCCTTCCTGTCAGCCTGAGCTCAGCCTGTGTGAAGCCCCCAGGGGTGGCCCGCAGCCTCTGTCAGTGGCCAGCCCTGGACTCCAGGGCCCGCCAGCCACAGAGGTGAGCTAAGTTGTCCTTCCTAAAGGGGCACCTCTGTGGCACCGGGACCCGTGCCCAGGGCCTCACGGGCCAGAGTCGCCTGCATGGGGGTGGGGGGCACTCCAAGACGACATCTCTGCTGTGCACCCCCATGGGGTCAGGCCAGGGGACCAGCGGGCCACACTGCTGCATGACCAAGGGTCCCACTGGGACGTGAGACCCTGGCGACTGCCTGGAGCCCCCTCGGCATCCCCTGGCGCATGTGCTTCCTGAACTCCCCCTCCCACAAACCCCTGCCCCCGTGTGCGCAGACATCTTTATAGATCCTGGTGCCCCCCCCACCCCAAGGGCTGTCATACCTGCCGTGGTCTGCCCCACCGCGCCCCCCAGCCTGTGGCCACGCCAGGTTCTTGCCCTGCTCCATGCCACGAGTCTTGCTGCAAATCTCCCAACCTGTGTGTGTCCTGCCTGGGTCATGTCTCCGTGTGGCCCTCGGGTGGCCTGTGTCACACTAACACGTGGCAGCTCTAACCCGCCCCCCGCCCCCCCCCCCCATGGGCCGGGCTGAGCCCGGAGCCAGCGGCTCGCCAGCTGTGCAGGGTAGAGAGACTGCGTGTCAGGGGCCGTGAGGAGCAAGGCCTGGACTCCCGCGCGCCCCTGCCCCGGGTGGGGCTCCCCGCTTCGCCCACGCCCATGGACAGCTGGCTGCCCGTGGCCATGAAGCCGCCAGGCTGGAGCCTTTCCTGTACCTTTTTTTTCTGAAGTCTTTGTGGATCTCAGTTCATTAATAAAGAAAAGAAGAGATGCTCGCGGGTGCTGTTTCCCTCTGCTCCAGAACGTTCCCTGAGTCTTGTTGCCAATGTCCCGCCTGGGTCACTTCCTCCTGTTTGACAGGGCGCAGCTGAAGGGAAGGGGCGCTGCGGGTGCGGAGGGCGTCCCCCTGCTGGGCCGGGTCTGAAGGCCAGGGCGGCACCATGAGAGTCACCAGCGACCCCGACCAGCTCTTGATACTGGAGGTCCCGGACGGACGTGGGCTGTGCCGGCAACACCCAGGTTCCTGCGGGCAGGTTCCTTGTGCAGAGTGGCACATGCGCCCCCCCCCCCCCCGCAGTATGCTGAGCGTGGGGGCTCACGGGAGGGGACTCCAGGAGCCGGAAGGGACCCCTGCTAGGTGGCCAGCGCCCTTTCTGGGCCCTGACGCTCCCCAGCCTTCGGTCCCCACGGTTTGGCCCCTTCTAGCTAAGCCTGCGGGCCTCCAGCCAAGCTTCTCCCGAGACCCCCAAACCATGGCTCAGGGCTGGCCACAGGGCTCTGGGGCGGCATGCATGCAGGCCTGGAGTGTGGGGGACCCTGTGTGGGGGCCCCAGGAACTGCTACAGAGCCCCGCTTCTCCCTGAACCCCGGTGACAGAAGCTGGAGCGGGGAGGGGCCCCGGGGTTGGAGGCGGCTTCTCTCCCACGCAGCCGGGACGGAGGGGAGCATAGGTGACACCGGGCTTGCGAGGCTGCCCCCTTGTCCCTCCCTCATCTCAGAGCCAGGACGCAGGCTGAGGGAGAGGCCCTGGGGTGGGGGGGTTGGGCACAGGGTGGGTCAGTACTGACAGCACCACAGCGGGGCAGCTGAGACAGACCTGGGCACACTCACATTCCAGAGGCTGAGGTCAGGGCCAAGGACAGCCCCCAGCACATGTGCGCGCGCACACACACATACACACACACACACGAATGTACACACACACACATACGCATGCACACACACATACACACATGAATGCATGCATAGACATGCATTATACACATACACACATGGATGCACACACAAGCATGCACACATGCATGCCCACATGCACACGTACACGCACATACACACAAACGCACATGTACGAGATGCAGGGTATATATGTGGGTGGGGGCAGTGTGGGGGTTGTGAGGGGATGTGGCTGTAGGTGTGAGTCTGGGGGTGTCTGTGTGGGGGTGTTAGGGGTGTATGTGGGTATATGGGTGTGTGAGTGCAAAGAGTGTGTGGGGATGGTGTGAGGAATATGTGTAAATACCCACATTCTCTGCGCCTGCCTCAGGACCCACATTCTCCGCCCCAGCTCCCGACCACCCATCCCCGCCCCCAGGTGTGGCGAGTGGGCGCCCAGCTCGCACTTCAAACATTGAAACATTTTCCTGACGTGCGCCCAGCTCTGTTACTGCACTGCTTTGCTCGGGAGGCCCTGCCGGAGAGAGTCGGCAACGTGAGGGCCCCAGGACACGACGCCGCACCAGCCCACACCAGCAATGTTTAGGGGACCGTGTGGTACCAGGGGCGCACGCAAGACACATGCCCGACAGGCACGCAGGACGGAAAGCACAGGAGAGGCAGGAGAGCAGAGCGCAGCCTGGGCCCGTGTTATACAAGCTCTCTTCTCTTTTGGTTTTCAGACCATTCATAGTAGTGCTCAGGTCTTACTCCTGGCTCTGTGCTCAGGGCTTATTCCTGGCTCTGTGCTCAGGGGTCATTCCTGGCAGTGCTCAGCAGACCACTTGCGGTGCCGGGGGTTGAACCTGGGGTTGGCACCTTCCCCACTGGCCTACCTCTCCAGCCCACCTGGCAGACCAGCTGCTTCAGCCTCAGGCGGATCTTGGTCCAAACGCCAGTTGCTGGGGGAACAGGGGTTGGGGCTTCGGACATCCCGGGCATGGGGGAGACGGTACAGCGACATCTCCACAGACTCAACAACGCCCAAAACAGGAGATACGGCCTTTAACCGCAGACAACGCTGAAAACACGAGATCTGGGCTTTAACTGCAGAACTTTGGAATGAGGTAACAAGGCGGGGGAAGGGTTTCGGGCTAGAGCATGGGGACTCTGGAGAAGGGGTCAAGTTGACCGCTCAGCACAAGTGGGCCTGGTGTTGAGATATTGTAGGCCTCAAGATTAATAACCTTTTAAATCGCGGTTCTTTAAATAAAAAATTAAAACATAGAAAAAGCAATGCCAGTTGCTGGCGCCATCTTAGACCCACTAAGTTGGAGGTTCTGTGTTTTTCTTTCTTAGTTTTTGGGCTATACCTGGCAGTGCTCAGGGCTTACTCCTGCACTCATGGATCACTCCTGGCGGTGCTCGGGGAACCACAGGGGGTTTCGAGGAACTGAACTCGGGACGGCT